TTGCGTTGATTCATCGAGGCGACCAGTGACAATAAAATAACGAGAATCAAATAAGATAACATATATCTTTATTTTACAGTTTTTCTTTAAAAAATAATTTCGTAATCATGATTCCTATAAAATATGCCGTAAATTGAGATATTTGTCAGATAAATTAAATAAAAGTGTAAAATAATTTCTGAAACAACAGTACATTTTTTAGAAATTGCTACGGTGATTTTCTAACAGCTGAGAAGAGTACTAGTATTTCAAGAATCATTTTTCTTTTATATATCTCATTTTTCTGCATATTTTACAGGATTACATAATTATATTATTAAATTGTTATTAAGAAAAAAGTAAAACTAAACAATTAATTTATTATTATATGTCATTTCTTAATTGGTTCTGACATTAGGCAGCTAACATGATGCATTGAGGTAAAGACTCATAAAAAAAAAGGTCTTCTTTTATTATAGTATACTTATACTGACGCGGAAATGGAATATATTTTGAATTGACTATAACTCCATGTAGTTTTTTATCTGTAATAAAAGACCATTCTTTTTATAGAAATTAATAATTTTAATATATTGTGTTCAAGAATATATTGATTGTCGTCGATCCACCTTTCAGACAGCATCATAATTCCTTGTTGAAAGAACTTCCTGTTTTTGTTTCTGACCAAGACACATCGAGCGCGGTGTGTCTTGGATTGAAAAATCTCCGAAACGCAATCTCGCAAATGATTTCTGGCATACGCGTTCTTTCACGGCATTCTTGTTATATAATACATCTGTCCTTTTTAGCTAAATTTTTTGCATTTTTCCCTTTTTCATACATTTGAGAGAAAAAAGGAAAAAAACCCAGTAAGCAAAAAACATTTTGGAACGTTCCAGTAACATCGCATCGTTGTAACGTTGCTGCAATGTTGCTGAAATGTTTCAAAACGTTTCTTGCTTACTGAGGATGAACGGTGCAAACCTAGAAGTTTAGCTCAAGAAAACGGGCATATTATTTTTACAGGTTTGCTTCTTTTAAAATGAAAAAATACATATGTCTATCTTTCAAATGACTTTATAAACATGTAAAACGCAACCAATTATTGTGCTATTTTTTTTATGCACGTTGAAATGGTACATGTCAATAAATACAGCCTTGGCCAACAATATTAGACATTTATATTTTTTTCATTCATTTAGAACTCTTGTATCTGCATTGTCACTTGATTACCGGCATTACGCACAAATTTAAAGGGTTCTTGAAACAAGGCCTAATTCACAGCAAATGCTATAAATCAATTTTTTATGTGCTTTCAAAATTTGGACTGAACTTGGAACTTTTCAGAGCATTTTAATCCAAAGCCATCTATCGACAAAAACCGCACGGAAATATTGGCCAACCCGATACATTTATCTGTATACGGAGTACAGATCTTATTGCGGCAAACTATGTCGATTCCTGCGAATGACGTTACTGATGGGAATCAACGCATCCGCATGAGTGGCTTGTGTTTCGTTGTCGATGCATCGTTCGACGTCGGATGCGATGGATATTCATATTTAATCCGCATTGATCCTAGCTCAGACGAGCCATTCTTTTACTTTCACACAGCAGCAACAGTCCAAAGCAGCCGATATGTGCGACTTATGCCAATGTGTGCATGTCATGAATACGGCGATATCGGCCGAAGTAGCGATGCCGAGGATTACCGAAGTCCATCATCGCAAAACGATGTCATCTTATTGGTCATTTCTTCCAGTTTCTTCACGCTCGTGTCTGCCATTCGATTTGACCAATCAGCTCGTCAGCGCGGCGCAAGTGGTTCTCAAACAGCATCTTCTCCTCGTCTAGAATTTATAATAATTTATATGTACCGTGGGAAATAAGGAGAAACTAACACCTTCTTTACGAGAAAAAGGGGATTCTATAAATTATTTCATGCTAAAAATTCAGGTCAATTATTGACTGTATATACTACCATAAATTTAAATTTATATAATTGTGATTTTGCAATTATTATATACACATATTACAACTATTATACAGTTTTAATAAAAAATATTAGTCTCCTTATTGACTATTATTTAAAGTTTTGGCTTAAAAATTGATTTATATATTTACTGCAAATTTCTTTCGTTTCAAAATCGAACCCTTTAAACTTGCATTTAATGCCGGTAATCGAAATAAGGAGCTTTGGCAATACCGTTTATCCAGGTCGCGGTGAACGCTACAGTCACGTTATCTTTTTCTTCACATAACTTATTAAGAAAAGAATAACGACGTGACTTTAGCGTTTACCGTATCTGGATAAACGATATTGCAAAAATTCTCTAATAGGTGGACAATGCAGGTAGAAGAATTCCAAATAAATGAAAACAATATAAGTGCCTAATACTTTTGGCCAAGGTTATACATGTAAAGATTTATTCGAAACATGGTGATTGGTGTAAAGTAAAATTTTGCAAAAATCATTATAATCTAACGTTTTCACGTAAACGAAAAATAAATAAGTTGATGAATAAATAAAAATTCGATGAATGAATGTTGTCGAAATTATCGACGTAATATGTCTCCAGGCGCGCGAAATACGTGGCATACGATCGTCTTGGAATGTTGTCCGGCCGATCGCGCTAGTACTCGTCTCCCTTTACGACGTTTCCCGCGCAAATCATGGCTACGATCTGCTCCCCACGAGTTCTCCCGCGATCGCATTTTAATATTTTCGCATAGAGTAACTTTTAGGAAACATCTGCAAACGTTTATTTTACCCAAGTGACTAAACATTCAATTTTTAATGACTTTTATTCGAATGTACGGTTTGATTAATTATGGATGACTTATGTCAGATAGCCTTGCTTGAACAGACTGTATCATTGTTTGCGGATTAAATATTTGCATCGTGTTCAGAGACACATCAATAGAGCTGTGAACATGAGATCGCTACCACAGACGGTATAATATTCTGATACTTAGGTAAGACTATCCGCGCAAGAATATATTCTCGAGAAATTAATTTCAGAAAATTAATTTTGTGAAATTATTGTATCAGATTTTATAACAATTTCTACTTTGCAATACATATGTTTTTGTATGATTACACACGTGTAAAAGCTGCAGAAAGAAAGAACGGAAACCATGACGAACAGATTTGCATTGATTAATAATTGAACCTACAAAAACAATGTAATAAAATGATCACTACATAAACAATAATCAATATTGCTTTATTGATCATCAATAATGATGATATTTATTTTATCGGTCGATATAAAAGAAAATGAACGTATCAGCAAGCGCTGCAAAATTATAATACGTTTTTTGAATTGAATATTTAAATTCTAAAAATAAAAAAGTAACTAATAAAGCAAATTGACCAGTCAAAAATTGTGATTATATTATAAAATTGTTGTAATTGATCGCTATATGATTTACGGTTTATAATTATAATTAAAATTATTTTACGTGTAATGATTTTAGGAATGATGTTTTTTTATCTAGATAAAAGTTGCATTTAATATACAATTAATGTAATGCAGATGTATTTCCCTATTATATTGTCAAATAGTTTTCTAACAAGATATTTATTAGGGAGGGAGTAAAAGAGGGAATCAGACGCAGAACTCGTGTGTAATTTCAGCTGATGTTTAATTTCATAGGAATTTGAGAGTAAAATTTGTCTCAAAAATATATAATTCTTGCAAACGAACGGTTAATTAATGTCAATCGATGTAAAAAGTAAAAATTTTATTAATTTTAATAATTTTTCTCAAATATTTATAATCTTTTAAAATTTGTACTTGCACGATGCATATTGAAGTTACATAAATTGACGTAAAAATGTGTGTTTAATATAAATATGGAAACTGGTTAATCGGCGATCTTCATTGTAAGTACGTTCTGTTTTCACGCTTACAGAGAGAGAGGCTGCAAATATCAGCTCATCTTTGTTGTCTATCAAATATTAAATAAGAACATAATTCTTACAACCGCTGTAAGCGCAAAACGGAACGCATCCTTTATTGTACTGTTAGATAAAATAAAATTTTATAATTCGCGCGCGCGCGAAATGTTTACATTTCACTTTTACACTTAAATTAAATCAGTATGCAACTTTAATACTAGTGCGAACCGAATTCGCTATCAGGTTGGGCGGACTTCTTTTTCTTCTTTTTCCTTCCTATGACTCAGTCGAATCTCACTACTACGATGAAACATATTTAATAAGGTAGATTTCAAAGGGAACGAAGGGAATTTAGTTGGCATAGCAACGAAAGAGTCTTTTCTCAGAAGGGCCCTCAATAATGTGTTACCGCTGATTCATTAAAAAGGAAACGTTCCCTTCCAAGTTTCAACAGCGCAAGAATGAATTAAAATTTACAATTGAAAACTCTCTTAAAAATTTAAGTATAAGTTTTATCAATCTAAAAGATCTTGAGATTATCATTAAGATACTTTTCAGGGAAACGTTCTTACAAATCAATTTCCTTACTGACTCACCCAGAGAAATGTTTCTTCAATTCAAAGAAATATTTGCTATACGGTTAAAGAAAAATTTTTTTTTATTTAAATATCACTTTTTAAAATCAAATAAATTTTTTTATTCGATTTCAAAAAATGATGTTCAAATCAAAGAAATGTTTTCTTTAACTGTATAGCAAAGAAACATTTCTTTCTAAAAGAAAGACGCACCTTTCTCTGGTTAATAAAAGGTGGACGGAAATGACAAAATGACGGTCACGTTCAGAAGATATTCAAGTCCTGAATCAATTCCCCACGGTCACAAGCGGGAGAGTCTACAAAGTGCGAACCTATTGCCAGTGCACGCGTACCTAAGTGCGCGTCGCCGCACTCTCGTCCTCTCGTCTCTTCCGTTCGGTTTCGCGTCAGGTCGCGGGGCTCACCGCTCGCGATCATCAGTCTCGCTCGCGCGCCCGACCAGGCAGGACCTGGGTGTGGTGTGCAGCATTGCGTATGATCGATCGCGGAGAATTGACAAGCGTGCCGATTTACGTGACGATCTTGCCGATATCATCGTCGTTGTAGTGTCATCGATCAGCGGTTGTCCTCGAGATGACATCGTGGCTACGTCACTCCAGCTGAAGCCTTCCTCCTCCCTCCGTCGATGAAGCGACTCCAGGATGATGCAGGACATCCCTGGCGGCCCTGCCGACGACCAACGTGCCTCGTCCAAGTCGGTGTTGCTCAACACCTTCATCGTGAAGAAGAAGCGCTGCCGCGTGTACTTTCATCGTGGCACACTCATCTGGGAGACCGAGCGACCGCCTTACAGTAAGCGTCGATTGCGAGCTCCTCGATCGTGGAATTTTCACTTAAGAGCTACACGTTTCATGGATCATTCCACCGAATGTTGAATATTCGGTACTCACGACTGCACCTTGATTAACTGAAATTATTGGAAATAATTTTAATCATCATTAAACAAAATTTGCTCCGAGTGAGTTTTTCTTTAACCCAGGTGAATGTTGGATGAATTAAACTGCTTGCTGCAACAGTGGGCTAATCCACATTTTGTAAAAACAGAATAAATGAATCACTGATTTTTTTTCATCTTAAAATTCAAAGTAACTTTAAAATCTGACGGAGCCATTCGGTCAGCGAAATTATTTTTGACCAAAAAAATCGAAAGAATTTATACCCCTAATAGAATTAGTTGACAAAAAATTTTTTGTCGGACTCTGTAATTAAAATGTTTGCTGCAATTTTGAGATAATCCACATTTTGTAAAAACGGAGTAAATGAATTGCTAATTTCTCATCATAAAATTTTTTAAATAACTTTAAAACCTGACGTGACGGAGCAATTTGGTTAGTGGTATTATTTTTTAATAGAAAATTTATAAGGAGCCTACCCTGATTAGAGTTACTTGACAATTTCTGCTGGAAAATTTGTTTCATTGGTCTGTGTAATTGAAAAGCAATAATGGGACAATCCACATTTGTAAAAAAGCGGAGTAAATGAATTTCTAATTTCTCGTCTTAAAATTCAAAAATTCTTAAAAACGAAACGTGATGGAGGGATTTAGCCAGCAACATTGTTTTTTGTAATAAAAAATCTAAAAGAAATATCTGCTCTTACCAAAGTTATTCGACATTAATTTTATTATCGATCTCTATTACTTATTGCCTTATTAAACATACGAGAAATTTTTATTTAAGAGCTACACATTTCTTGTTATTATATAATAAAATAATATTGAATAATCACAATTGCACCCTGATTAATGTAGAAACAATTTTGAACAACAAAATTTTCTCCGAATAAATTCTTTTGAAGTAGATGGGTGTGATTATATTAATTAAATTATTATCTCATTGATGACGTGTTTCGTTTATAACGAAAACATTGGACGTTGAAAGGTCAAGATTGTATTTTAATTAAAGAATGCTCGATTAGGTTCGACTTCGATCCTCGATATGGTCTTCTTAAAGTAGCTCCTACACTGAGAAAAGAGTTTAGTGATAGCTATCAAATTTTGAGTAAACAATTCCAGTTAAATGTTAAGTTAATATGAATAAAATACTTTTACTTTTCTAATTATTTATAATAAGTACTATCGGTTATTATTATATATTTGGTAATATTTCCTAAATATTTAAAAAAGTAATTAAAATTACATTTTATTAACTAAACATTTAATTGAAATTATTTCATTTAATGTTTTGTAGATATTTCCAAACTTTTTTTCAGTATATTCAAGGATAAATTATTGTCACATTAGTAGGATCACTATTTCATTGATAATGTAAACGTTTTTCCTTGATCTTCTTCGAAATATCGAACACTTAATTTCAGAGTTATAGTTAACTCGCGTTAATGAAAATAGGAACGGAACTTGGTTCAATCATTGCATCAACGATGTGTATGTTTCTCTTAACAAGTTTTATATATTGAATATTTAATTTACGAGCTATTCGCAGTTTACTCTCGGAGAGTTGTGGAACTAATGGAGTAAATTATTCGCTCTCGACAGGCGCTCGCCAATCCAACAAAATTCATTCTTAACAAACATAGATAGACAAATAACAAAATAATAATTTGTCTTGTTTTTCACTGTTTAACTTTTCTTTGAACCGCGTTCCTTCAAAAACGAACATAGACGAATAATATCTAATCAATGCTAATTGAATTGTTTCGTTGACGTGTTCCTTTTTTTTGGCAAGGACGCCAAATATTTCACTTCCGACTCAATTGTGGTCCTCGTCTCAGAACTAGTGCTATTGGGTGCTTTCCATTTGATGACACAAGTCGACACAAGTATCATTCTATCTTTCTTGATATTTAGAGATTGACAAAGATAGAACGACACTTGTGTCGATTTGTGTCATCAAATGGAAAGCACCCATTATATCCAGAGTTGATTTGATAAATCTATTACATATTATCAAACATAGATATTTACGACTCTTTTTTTATGTTTTGTTTTCCTGTGAACAACTCTAATAATATTAATAATAATAATTTTGTTATATCTTATCATATTGTAGCATTGTAGCAAATAAGCAATATGAGAAAATAGATTTTATCAGATCAGACGCGCACAATTGCGGCGGACGCAGTTACGTGCATAGTTTTGCTTGTAAAATATAAAATTCAAGATTATTTAAATCAGATCTGAATTAATGCAGAACATAAGAATGTTGAATAAGACGTAAATTTTTCTCACATAAAATTAGTTGGATCTAGGCACATAACGAATTCACAATCCAAGCAGAGTACAAGTTATTACGATATCTAAATGACACAAAATGGTTTAGAAATGATTACTAAAAGTCACTTTTCGATCAGTGACGATTCATTTTAACGTCATTTTGATGTTATATATGGAAATAACAATTTTTGGGATAAAATATCAGAAAGATATTAGCTAAATGCAGATCTGAAAATAATTTTGGATCAGTTTAAGCGTTCTGATGCGTGTGGTCCAACAAAATTATCAGATTTGTATCTACTCTTAAAAAAGTGTATCTACAGCAAAAATATTTAATTGAGGCATTTTTTAACAGCAACCAAATATTGTGTTTATATAACAAAGAATTTAGTCGATTTTGCAAATAATTTTTTCTGTCTTGTAAATAATAAAAAGATTTATCAATTGTATACGGTCTTAAAAAGATTTTAGTATTTGATAAAAAGATTTGTTTATACTGACTGAACAATTTAATTTGAATAAAGTTACATTTTGTTTGATACATTTTAATCAAAATCTTTTAAATTTTTAGATTACTTCAGTAAATACATCTTTTTCAACCAATCCTGTGACTAATTATTGTTTTATATTTAGGAATTTTTCGAATTGATAGACTCATGCATAGCGCGTCGTCTTGTTCGCTGTTTGTTCTTGTTTCTTGACCGTTCACTTTTACTTTATTTCTTAACGATCTCTTGACTCGCTACTTCGCCACTTATGCCACTTTATTGTGCAGCTTGGCGCGTTTTTTGAATAAGAAAGTTGTAATCACATCACAAATGGTTAATTCTTCTATGAGTTGTTTAAAGTTAAATGTGTTCAATTAATCTCAAGGCCTAGAAATAAAGAAATACGCGTTTATTAAGATTTAGCAAATTAAAAATGGATGAACTGGAAGATTCTAATTGGAATTATATAATATCAATGGAATTCTGATTATCTCGACTAGAATGTTCTAGTAGATTTGATGAAAATTTTGATTGGTCCATTTTCTACCAGAATTCTAATTAATCCAATCAGATATCTTTCTCAATGTATGGCTAAGTTTTTAGATATTTCAAAATTGCTTTTTCTATGTGGATACATCGTTCGTATTTTCTGTTCTCATAGAGTTACGTAATAATTAGTCTATAATTCGTTTTCTTTCTTGTTCCCCTCTCTTTTTCTCTCTTTGGTCGATTGCTCTTGAGGCCAACAAGCGCTTATTAATACAACTCAAGCAATTCGGTCCTACAAGATAGGTCGTGTGTGTCACGAGTTAAGTGTGTATAGTACATGTTAGAAGAGGCTGGCCTTGACCTTCCATTGCTACAGCATCTTTTGCGATGGTAGACGTTACATTGCAATTATTTTAAAAAAACCAGTAGGACGGAATAGAGACAGAGAACATGGACATATTGACCTTTCGCTTGCAAGCAAGGACCATAGGAATAAAAAGATAGGCAGATAATTTGTTCTGCAATTTGTTTTGTAATTTATCATGTTAAATAGCCTGGTTATAATAAGGGACAGAGCAGAATTCTTTATTGGACGTTTCTTTTAAGCGCATTAATTTGTGACTCGAAGTCTAATTCTCTACGATAATCCGGATTAAACGCTTCTTATAAATAAATGAATAAAATACAGTTTATATATAATGAAATAAAACAAAATATTTGGTAAAGTCCGAAAGTTTGCGTTTCTTTGTATGTTAAATAAAATTAGAGAAAATGGAAGAAATGAATGAATGAATCGCTATTTACTAGGCAATTTATACATATGTGGCACAATCCCTTCAAGCGCAGAAATATTTAGGCTGACAACGTCAAACATACATAACTATAAGCATAGATAAGCATTATCTTTCGTAATTAATAGTAAATATGATGAGTAAAAGAAAAGAAAAAAATGCTTCTACTTACAGACAAAAAAGAGAACTAAAATCATTTTAGAAAATAACTAATAATAATTGATCTAATGATTGAGAAAGAAATTGCTTTCAAATAAAGATATGTAAATAACTGATAAATAAACAAAAACTTTATTATAGATTTAATCGTCCTTCAAATCATCAGTATTTTTAATAGATGTCATTAATATCCAAATCATTCATCAAAATTTTTATTTAATGTTAATTGCACTTAATTGCTTCTCATAATATTATAAGATCGAAATAGATTTATAATAAATATTTATGAAATATTAAAAATAAGTCTTATAAATATTTATAAACATTAAAAAAATGTGCTTATCTGAATAAACAACTTATAGTTGTTTACATGCATATACGTACGTACTACAGTTGCACACAAAAAGACAGAAGAAATTAATGCCCATTTCCACCAATGCAGATTAATTTTAATCTTGGTTCAATTTGCTTTTCATCTTTTTCTAATTCTAAAAATTAGAAAAAGATTAACAGCAAGTTAAACCGAGATTAAAGTTAATCTGCATTGATGGAAACAGGCATTAATCAATCAAAACTTCCTCGCGTGGTCAGGATGATTTTTGATTGTAAATTTACTTTATAACTTCGAAAGGCAAGGTTATTACAAGGAATTCTAATAAGTTTTTGGCGATTCACTCACGTAGATATGAACAC